CACTCCTCCCCCAAGCTGAGAGCATGTGACCTGGTATGGTTCGGGGCGGGGCACTTGCTTGTTCACCCCCCCTTCCTGACCTGTCAGGCTGCATGCTCGGAAAAGAGTCTGGTATGGATTTTGGGGGGGACCCCCACGCCATTTTTTTTTTACATTTTGGCATGGGGGTTCCCGTCTAAATCCATACCAGACCCGAAGGGCTTGGTATGGATGGGGGAGGGAGAACCCCATGCGTTAAAAAAAAAAAAAATTAATTGCTGGGCTGTCAAGGTCCTACCTTTTCTCTGAGGTTATGTCACTCCATGTGCGGGCATCCATCTTGGATTTCAGCTGAGCATGGTGGGAATCCTTTATGCCTTCAGGTCGCTGAGGTCCATCCCCCAGAGGGGCGTGGCTGATGACATATAAGCCTGTGGTCCGCACATGCTCTTTGCACTTGTGTCGCTATTACTCTGTTCTGACTCTCGTAACTCTCCTGGTATCTGATTCGGCTTGTGACTCGACTATTCTTTGCGTTCTCCTTTGATCTGACCCTCTGTTGCTGAACCCGGCTCGTGACCTGTGATTCTCGTCTGCTGTCCTGTACCGTTTTGTCCCGTTGTTGTTGACCCGGCCTGCCTGACTACTCTATTGTCTTTTCCACCAGCTACACGCCATTGGTGGCGGCCATTACCGCAGCTGAGGTGTCTCGGGGGCCGCGACCTGGTTCCTGGCTGCGTCAAGTCCATCCCCACCATCAGGGGCCCTGGTGAAGGGCAGCCTGGGACTTAGACTCTGCGCCCTGAGGGACTTCGGTCTGTGGGTGGTGGTTGTCGTCAGCCAGGGCGTTACATTGTTTAGGCCTGCCTGTCCGTTCCTCAGCTCCTGCCCTGACATTGGCACTGCCAGCACTTCTTTTTACATTCAGCTGTCAGCAGGGAATCCCGCTGATAGCTGAAGCATTAAAGAATGTTTTTAGCAGCTGTGCGATATCATACTCAGATGTGGTAAGATACGCTTAGTGAATTGTCCCCCCCTGTTTGAATTTCGTGGTCGAACTTTCGTTAGGTTCGAATGTTTGACTGTGAATCGAACAGGGGGGTGTTCAGCCCATCACTATCCATCAGCGGCCCCTCTGGCTCTGGAACCTTCCTGGGAAGAAGGAAGGAAGCCAACTCTCCAGCAGGGGTGGACTGACAACTCATGGGGCCCTCGGGCAATAGGGGATCATGGGGCTCCTGTGTCCTTGCCCAAACTCAAAAAAGCCTATGAAAAAGGTACCAGGGGCATCTCATAGGGACCCCTACTGACCCCGGGCCCACGGGCAGTGCCCGAGTTTCCAAATGGTCAGTCTGTCCCTGCTCTCTTGTTTATGAGAGTATTTATCACCATTCCAGCCCCCTTCTGCACACTCCTTTCCGGGGATTGGCTTTTCCAGGCTGCATCCCGTTGATACACTTATTTCACTAAGTGCAAAAGATTCATTTATATTTTGCGTTTTCAAAAGCAACAGCAGCTTTCCTGTTATGATCCGCCAGGTGGTGCCTCTGGCTGCCCACTTGACAGACCTACCCAAAGCGTGGAGTCTAAGTCCCAGTCTGTGCTTTCACCAGGGCCCCTGATGGTGGGGATGGACTTGTAACAGACCAGGACCAGGTCACGACCTCTGAGCAGGCCCACCAGTGGCAGAGGGAACCTCCGGGGATGTTTAGGTACCGGGAGAGCCAGATGTGAGGAGGCCGGCAGGACCTAGCAGGATGGATCACGAGCAGTGGTCCCGTGGGGTAAGCGAGGTACAGAATCGGCAGGCGGAGAGTAGTCAGGTCACACGCAGGGTCAGCAGGATAAGTCAGTCCGCAGATAGGTCAAACAAGCCGGGGGTCAGGAGAGGAGAAGGCAGAGTAGTCAGGGCAATCCGGGTCAAACACAGGAGAAGGCAGCGTAGTCAGGACAATCCGGGTCAAACACAAGAGAAGGAAGCGTAGTCAGGGCAATCAGGGTCAAACACAGGAGAAGGCAGCGTAGTCAGGGCAATCCGGGTCAAACACAGGAGCAGGCAGCGTAGTCAGGGCAATCCGGGTCAAACACAGGAGCAGGCAGCGTAGTCAGGGCAATCAGGGTCAAACACAGGAGAAGGCAGCGTAGTCAGGACAATCAGGGTCAATATCACAGGTTCAGGAATTCAGGATCACAGATAGACCTTGCGGCAATCTGTGACAGTGCAGGGCATCTTTAAAATATCGCGCCCTGAACTGTCATTGGCCTCCCAGGACGCGCCCCTGGCTGTCATTGGCCACCCAGGGCGCGCCCGCGGCTCCCACTGCGCATGCGCGAATTCCTGTCAGCCGCGGCCCGCCGGGACCTGGTGCTTGTATCCCAGCACGGACTGCCGCTAGTGCGCCGGGGAAGGTGCCGCGGCGGTCTCTGACATTTCCTATCTCCCTCGTCACTGGTATTCTTTAAATAAATTGTTTCTGTTGCGGAAGATCCTCTTTTTAATATTGAAGTGGCAAAGTAAGTGGCATGGAGAGCTATCAGCACTTAACCTGGAAACTTCGAGTTCCCACCGCCAGGTTTTTATTACTCCATTAGGTGTGCTCCCACCCTCGGGAGAGGGGCACCCCCAGACATGGTGCAAGCTGCCTTCCTCGGCTCGGTCTTTGAACTTGCCGTCAGAGCAGACAGTAGAAATTACTATCAAGTGCTTTAATGATCTCTTTGGGGAAGAAGTGATGGATGGCCGTGTTCTCTCTCCATAGCCACCCACCAGTCTTTTTATTGTTAATTAAACTATTAGCTCTCACTTTTGAGTCAAACAAATTTGGAGCAGATGGCAGTCATGGAGAAGAAGGAGACATCTAGAGGAGGACCTCCCGCAGCTAGACCTCATTTACCCCACCTGCTTCTGCTGACATGGCCGGCATGGAATATCTTGTACTAGTTTATGTCTCCTGATTGTCTTGGTGTCCAGCAGTTACGTATACGGTGGAAAACGTCCGGAAGGCGGCTGTTTTTCGAAGGGAAATGGGTGCGCAGTGATTTCTCACTTATAAAGCACTTATAGTCCTTATCGATTTATAGAGTTTCTCCATAACTCTGTATTCACAAGCAGATATCAGCAGTAATGTCCCTCCATTTCCACTACATCGGAGTCCCACTATTCTTCACCATCTTCTCCACAGAGAGGAAGCCTCTCACTCCCACTAAGGGGGTTCCCAAATTATTTCCACTGACATGGCGGTGCAGTTATACAATCTCTCTCAAAAGGAATCCAACCATCACTCCTGACACCTATGCAGCACCCCTATGACCCCACTGATCACCAATTTAAGGGGCATTCTTCCCACTGACCACCAATGTAAGGGACATTCTTCCCACTGACCACCAATGTAAGGGACATTCTTCCCACTGACCACCAATGTAAGGGACATTCTTCCCACTGACCACCAATGTAAGGAGCATTCTTCTCACTGACCACCCAATGTAAGGGACATTCTTCCCACTGATCACCAATGTAAGGGACATTCTTCCCACTGACCACCAATGTAAGGGACATTCTTCCCACTGACCCCCAATGTAAGGGACATTCTTCCCCACTGATCACCAATGTAAGGGACATTCTTCCCACTGACCCCCAATGTAAGGGACATTCTTCCCACTGACCACCAATGTAAGGGACATTCTTCCCACTGACACCAATGTAAGGGACATTCTTCCCACTGATCCCAATGTAAGGGACATTCTTCCCACTGACCCCCAATGTAAGGGACATTCTTCCCACTGACACCACCAATGTAAGGGACATTCTTCCCACTGACCCCAATGTAAGGGGACATTCTTCCCACTGTATCACCAATGTAAGGGGGAACATTCTTCCCACTGACACCAATGTAAGGGACATTCTTCCCACTGACCCCCAATGTAAGGGACATTTCCCACTGATCACCAATGTAAGGGACATTCTTCCCACTGACCCCAATGTAAGGGGCATTCTTCCCCACTGACCCCCAATGTAAGGGACATTCTTCCCACTGACCACCAATGTAAGGGACATTCTTCCCACTGATCACCAATGTAAGGGACATTCTTCCCACTGATCACCAATGTAAGGGACATTCTTCCACTGACCCCCAATGTAAGGGACATTCTTCCCACTGACCACCAATGTAAGGGACATTCTTCCCACTGACCACCAATGTAAGGGACATTCTTCCCACTGACCCCAATGTAAGGGACATTCTTCCCACTGACCACCAATGTAAGGGACATTCTTCCCACTGATCACCAATGTAAGGGACATTCTTCCCACTGACCACCAATGTAAGGGACATTCTTCCCACTGACACCAATGTAAGGGACATTCTTCCACTGACCACCAATGTAAGGGACATTCTTCCCACTGATCACCAATGTAAGGGACATTCTTCCCACTGACCACCAATGTAAGGGACATTCTTTCCCACTGATCACCAATGTAAGGGACATTCTTCCCACTGACCCAATGTAAGGGGCATTCTTTTTCCACTGACCCACTGACCCTGACAATGTAAGGGACATTCTTCCCACTGACCCACCAATGTAAGGGACGACATTCTTCCCACAATGACCACCAATGTAAGGGACATTCTTCCCACTGATCACCAATGTAAGGGAGCATTCTTCCCACTGACCCCCAATGTAAGGGGCATTCTTCCCATTGACCCCCAATGTAAGGGGCATTCTTCCACTGACCCCAATGTAAGGGGCATTCTTCCCACTGACCACCAATGTAAGGGACATTCTTCCCACTGACCCAATGTAAGGGACATTCTTCCCCACTGACCCCCAATGTAAGGGACATTCTTCCCACTGATCACCAATGTAAGGGACATTCTTCCCACTGACACCAATGTAAGGGACATTCTTCCCACTGACCCCCAATGTAAGGGACATTCTTCCCACTGAACGCCCAATGTAAGGACATTCTTCCCACTAACCCCAATGTAAGGGCATTCTTCCAATGTAAGGGACATTTCGCCCAATGTAAGGAGCATTCTTCCCACTGACCACCAATGTAAGGGACCCATTCTTCCCACTGACCACCCCCAAATGTAAGGGACATTCTTCCCACTGACCCCCAATGTAAGGGACATTCTTCCCACTATGCTGTGTTGTTATTTAGTTTCTCTTGTACCACCAATGTAAGGGACATTCTTCCCACTGATCCACCAAATGTAAGGGACATTCTTCCACTGACCACCAATGTAAGGGACATTCTTCCCAACTGACCACCAATGTAAGGGACATTCTTCCCAATGATCACCAATGTAAGGGAAATTCTTCCCACTGACCACCAATGTAAGGGACATTCTTCCCACTGACCACCAATGTAAGGGACATTCTTCCCACTGACCACCAATGTAAGGGACATTCTTCCCAATGATCACCAATGTAAGGGAAATTCTTCCCACTGACCACCAATGTAAGGGACATTCTTCCCACTGACCACCAATGTAAGGGACATTCTTCCCACTGACCCCCAATGTAAGGGACATTCTTCCCACTGACCACCAATGTAAGGGACATTCTTCCCACTGACCACCAATGTAAGGGACATTCTTCCCAATGACACCAATGTAAGGGACATTCTTCCCAATGATCACTAATGTAAGGAGCATTTTCTTATTGCCCCCCCCCAATGAAGTAATCTTAGCAAGTATTCCTCCTATTTCAAGGGTTCCTCGAGTTGAAAGGGTTGAGAAGGCTATCCTATACAAAAGAAAAAAAAAAGATTTGGGCTTTAGATAAACTTTAACTGCCTTTTAATACCCTCCTAATAACCAAATCTATCTGTCTATGAATGACACCGTGTCAAGACTCTGCCATAAGGATACGGGTTATTTCTACCATTAAACCCAGTTGGAGGCCAACAATGGCATAAACCTGCCATTCATCATCAGTGCTGTCAGCAGATCATTGACAAGATCCTGACGTGTAGTTCTGGGATGATTCCTCACTGTTCTCATGATCATTGACAGTCCACGAGGTGAGATCTTGCATGGTGCACCAGACCTAGGGAGACTGACACTTGTTTTGTGTTTCTTCCATTTGTGAATGATTGCACCAACTGTTGTCACCTTCTCACTATCTGCTTGGCCATAGTTTGGTAGCCCAGTCCAGCCTTGTGTAGGTCTACAATCTTGTCCCTGACATCCTTGGACAGCTCTTTGATCTTTGCCATGGTGGAGGGTTTGGAATCTGATGGTTTGATGGCTCCTGTGGACAGGTGACTTTTATACAAGTAACACAATGAGATTAGCAGCACTCCCTTTAAGAGACTGCTTCTAATCTCAGCTTGTTACCTGTATGAGAGACACCTGGGAGCCAGAAATCCTGCTGAATGATAGGGGATCAAATCCTTCTTTCCCTCATGAACATGCAGATCAGTCATCATTTGTTAGACGTATTTCTGCTGAATTTGTTGTTGTATTCTGTCTCTCAGTGTTACAATGCACCGAACATTCGATTTTTACACCGATCATTTCTTTGTGAGTGGGCAAACATTCATCATCAGCAGGGGATCAAATACTTATTTCCTTCACTGTACCTAGGGTCCCTCTGTGTTGAGAAGGTCAAGAAAGTCACAGAAGGTCCTTCACACCAGCCCCTTGTGATACTTGTGATGAGGGGGGTGTGGCTGTTACTCAGCTCTTCCAGCACAGAGCACTGGAGTGTGAGCAGTGTGGCTGGCCGCCGTCCGTACATGTATGGTTACCTTGTGTCATCTTGAAGTGATGTTATTCTGCCACTGTCTCTGGCCATAAATCAGCCTCTCTTACATAATAAAGTGCTGAGGTTCTGAATTTTACAGGAACACGCCATCCTAATTTAATTTATTGAACTGGATTCAATTTCCATGAAGTCTATTCAATTAGCCCCAGAGGAACTGTGCATAGGAACAGAGCGGTGGAAGTGCTGAGAGGGGGCGAAGGCTTTTATCAGAGAGGAGACTCAAGGAGAGGCTTGAGGAACGTTGATTAACCTTTCATCTGCCGCCGGCGCTGAGGATGAATGGCAGGTTCATGCCGTGGTCGGCCCTAGACTGGATTTAATGGTAGGATTATCCTGTATCTGTATGGCAGAGTCTTGACACGGAATTATTCTTCGACAGATAGATTTGGTTATTAGGAGGGTAATAAAAGGCAGTTAAAGTGTATCTAAAGATAAAATCTTTTTTTGTATAGAACAGCCCTTTTAGCACAGAGGAACCCTGTTTCAGATATTAGGGAACCCCTACTAGAATTCATTTATTGGTGGTCAGTGGGGAGAATGTCCCTTACATTGGAGGTTAGTGGAAGAATGCTCCTTACATTGGGGGTCAGTGGGAAGAATGTCCCTTACATTGGGGGTCAGTGGGAAGAATGTCCCTTACATTGGTGGTCAGTGGAAGAATGTCCCTTACATTGGAGGTCAGTGGGAAGAATGTCCCTTACATTGGTGATCAGTGGGAAGAATGTCCCTTACATTGGTGATCAGTGGGAAGAATGCTCCTTACATTGGTGATCAGTGGGAAGAATGTCCCTTACATTGGTGATCAGTGGGAAGAATGCTCCTTACATTGGAGGTCAGTGGGAAGAATGCTCCTTACATTGGTGGTCAGTGGGAAGAATACTCCTTACATTGGAGGTCAGTGGGAAGAAAGCTCCTTACATTGGAGGTCAGTGGGAAGAAAGCTCCTTACATTGGGGGTCAGTGGGAAGAATGTCCCTTACGTTGGTGGTCAGTGGAAGAATGCTCCTTACATTGGAGGTCAGTTGGAAGAATGTCCCTTACATTAGAGGTTAGTGGAAGAATGCTCCTTACATTGGTGGTCAGTGATAAGAACATTCCTTACATTGGTGGTCAGTTGGAAGAATGCCTCATACATTGGTGACCCGTTGGAAGACTGTCCCTTACATTGATGGTCGGTGGGAAGAATGCCCCTTACATTGGTGGTCAGTTGGAAGAATGTCCCTTACATTGGTGGTCAGTGGGAAGAATGCCTCTTACATTGGTGGCCAGTTGGAAGACTGTCCCTTACATTGATGGTCAGTGGGAAGAATGCCCCTTACATTGGTGGTCAGTGCTTTGTCTTGAACCTTGATCCCTTTGCCCCTCCTAAAACGTCATATTAAAGCCATGCCTTTACACTTCCAGTTTACCAGATTATTGTGCTCTCTTCTGCCAATATCTCACTCTTGTCATTCCTGCTGCCGTCCCTATCTCCCTGCCACTCATTGCCAACCTTTGGCTTGACAGACTGCACTTCTGTTTGATTCCTACCTGCTATGTCTGCTACTGGACCCTGGCTTGCTCATCTCCTGGTGGGACGATCCTGGGGACTGCAACCTGCTACTAACGCAGCAAAATCCATTTCCACCCTCAGGAGCTCTATTAAATACCAGTTAGCACTTAGATCCCACACCTCAGGTGAGCCTGCATCATCCACCAGGGTGACCTGTGTCTGTACTTTTCCTGCTGGTCAGGGAGCCTCTCTACTGCTATAGCTTCTGGTCTCCAAGCCTGACCCCTGACCGTGACAACTCCTTACATTGGTGGTGAGTGAGACGAATGCTACATGCACTGATGGTTAGAATGCCACCCCTACAGAAAGCTAAAAAGATCTGATGAGTGATGTTGGAGTTGGAACTATCCTGGCACCCCCATATGGAAGGTCAATCAGCCACAGCTCATGTAACCCCTAGCAAATCTCTGAAGGAACCCTAGTTGTAAATGAGTGAGAAGAGAAGTGAGTGAGTGAAGAGAGAGAGAAGAGAGCAAGAGGGGAGCGTGAAGAGAGTGAGAAGGGAATGAGAAGAGAGAGAAGAGGGGAGCAAGAAGAGAGTGAGAAGAGAGCAAGAAGAGAGCAAGAGGGGAGCGAGAAGAGAGCTAGAGGAGAGAAGAGAACAGAACAGAGAAGACAGCAAGAAGAGAAGAGAGAAAGACAGAAGAAAAGAGGAGAAAAGAGAGCGAGAAGAAAAGAGGAGAAAAGAGAGCGAGAAGAGAAGAGAGCTAGAGGAGAGAAGAGAGTGAGAAGTGAGAGAAGAGGGGGAGCGGGATGAAGGTGAGAAGAGAAGAGAGGGGAGCAAGAAGAGAGTGAGAGGAGAAGGAAGTGAGAAGAGGGTGAGAAGAGATGAGAGCAAGAAGAGAGGAGAGCTAGAGGAGAGAAGAGAGCGAGAGAAGAGAACAAGAGGGGAGCATGAAGAGAGCAAGAAGAGAAGAGAGGGGAGCGAGAAGAGAGTGAGAAGAGAGTAAGAGGGGAGCGAAAAGAGAAGAGAGCTAGAGGAGAGAAGAGCGTGAGAAGAGAGTGAGAAGGGAGCGAGAAGAAAAGAGAGCTAGAGGAGAGAAGAGGAGAGACAAGAGTGAGAAGAGAAGTGAGCGAGAAGAGAAGAGAGCGAGAAGAGAGAGCAAGAGGGGAGCAAGAAGAGAGAGAGAGTAATAAAAGAAGAGAGCGAGAGGGGAGCAAGAGGGGAGCGAGAAGAGAGTGAGAAGGGAGAGAGAAGGGAGCAAAAAGAGAGGAGCGCTAGAGGAGAGAAGAGAGTGAGAAGGGAGCAAGAAGAAAAGAGAGCTAGAGGAGAGAAGAGGAGAGAGAGACAAGAGTGAGAAGAGAAGTGAGCAAGAAGAGAGCAAGAGGGGAGCAAGAAGAGAAGAGAGTGAGAAGAGAAGAGAGCTAGAAGAAAGAAGAGAGCAAGAAGAGAGTAAGAGGAGAGCGAGAAGGGAGAGCGAAGAGAGCGAGAAGGGAGCGAGAAGAGTGCTAGAGGAGAGAAGTGAGCAAGAAGAGATCGAGAAGAGAGCGAGAGGGGAGCAAGAAGAGAGCAAGAGGGGAGCGAGAAGAGAGTGAGAAGAGAAGAGAGCGAGAAGAGTTACAAAGTAGAAGTAAAGATTAGAAAGTAGAGAGATGAGCACACAGCAAGATTCCTAGACTGACATTATCCAAGGATCTGAAAATCTGGAAACATAAAGACTTTTAAGTTTCAATCCTGGACCATTACTGTGTAGGATAAATAGGCCGTCCGTTTCCGTTTGCCAGGACCATCCCCAATCTTCCCTGAAATGGGAATTGCGGTGCACAGGAAACAATGCACAATGGAGCCACTCACTTAGCAACCTTACTGCGAAATAGTCCATCCAGACTCTAAAATGGTGCCACTGAATCTATCTGCGCATGTACAGCGAGCATGTGCGCATGGCTCTGAGTGGGCACCTGCACTGTGCATGGTTGACTGTAGGCTGCTGGGATATATTTCAAATACATTTTTCTTTCATATGGGATGGCTCAACCAATAAGAAAACAAAAAATAAAAAGATGTTTACTGGTCTGACGGCAAAAGTGAATGTCTGAAATTACTGGCGGTACCAGGGGCGGACTGAAAACTCATGGGGCCCCCCGGGCAATAGGGGATCATGGGGCCCCTGTGTCCTTGCCCAAACTCAAAATAGCCTATGAAAAAGGTACCAGGGGCATCTCATGGGGCCCCCTACTCACCCCAGGCCCTTGGGCAGTGCCCGAGTTTCCAAATGGTCAGTCCGCCCCTGGGCGGTACATCAAATGATAAAGGAATAAAGGCACTAAAAAATATTTCAGATGTATGGAAGACCGTACTATATGGATTATGGGGGAATCACATAGTTAAATTTGCCATAGAGGAGTGAAGTCCATGAATTCAACTATCACCAAAATGTTCACCTATAATCAGGGGCAGACTGACCATTTGGAAACTCGGGCACTGCCCGAGGGCCCGGGGTCAGTAGGGGGCCCCATGAGATGCCCCTGGTACCTTTTTCATAGGCTTTTTTGAGTTTGGGCAAGGACACAGGGGCCCCATGATTCCACATTGCCAGGGGGCTCCATGAGTTGTCAGTCCGCCCCTGCCTATAATATGAGAAGAGCAGTAGTGATAAAGAATGGAAAGACAGAGAAGCCTAGAAAGAAAAAAGGACATTGGGGGAAGCAAAAAGGATGGGGGGGGGGTAAGAGGAGAGGGCATAGGCAGAGTTTGCCAACCTAATTACATCCCACTACAGAAAAATCCAAAAAATTGTGGATTCAAAGAGAACAATTACACTGTTCAACAAATTTTTATTTTTTGCCAATTTTGGAAACAAAAGGATCCATTTCTTAATGAATTTCACATTCTGAGTTCAAATATAACAATGAAATTTGTCAATTGGCTCTAGTTTTTCTGTAAACGGAAAGTTTTCTACTATAGGCGTAATGACTACATAATGCACAATAATTATATAGATAGATGTCTTTCCACAAATATAAAGCAAGTGATATGACTACATAACAAAGCCTAAATGGCATAATATATTGCATAGGATTACCAAGAAAAATGATAGCCATAAGCTAAGTTGAATCATTTTAATACTTAGGATTCTCACTAGTTTTGTCTTCAGTTTGTGTCGGTTTTGCTTCTCTTGGCTTTTCTCTTGTATTCGAGGAAAGGGCTATCTCTTACAACTGCACGTGACTACACGCTTCAGGTTCTTCCTCACTTGACTCAACCACGAAGGATTCTGGTGCTTTAGGAATTGGTAGCCCCTCTCCATGAGGAACTGGACGTATTGCCGATGGAATATTTGGATAGTGCACAGATAACTTTTTCTTCTTATTTAGCCCTTTTACAATTGGAGGCACCATACAAAAGTAACAATTACTAACATGATCTGTTGGCTCTCTCCAAATCATTGGCACAGCGAAAGGGATAGATGCCTTTTTTTTTCCATTCAACCATTGCTCCAGTGCCGTCCCACAAGAATTGCAGCATATATGTGGTGCCCAGCTCTTGTCCTGGTCTCCTATCTTGAAGCCAAAATACAAGTTGTAGGCTTTCTTAATCATTCCTGTTATCCTCCTTTTTTGTGAGATAAAAAAGTTATTTCACCGCAGATATAGCAGAAATTATCTGCTTTATTCACACAAGTTCGAGGCATTACTGAGTAGCCTATATCAGCATAAAACAAAATGTAAAGACGAACTACAATCAGCTACAGATACTGCAGCTTTTATGCAGTGAAGTGATGCAATTAAAGGCTAATATTGCATCATCTCAGTATACATGACATTTTCTATTGGTCACCAGTATCAATTGCGCAATATGCAGCTGAAGTTGCATCATAATTTTGAATGGCTTACGTCATTAGATGGGTGAATATATCATGGAAACTAGAGCCAATCAACATTTTTTAGGGTCATTTTCGTTTTCAGCACCCCAAAATTATGTAAGATTAGCTAATTTTATGCCCAAAACTTTTTACCTGTTGAACAGTGTTATTGGAGAGTTGGAGAGGACATTACAATTTTGTATTCATGTGAAGTTTGATAATGGAACCAACAAGCACATTTTTTTTTTTTTTTCGTAAAAAGTGAAAGTCTGTCCAGTGAAGTATGGATGAGCTCTTCTATCAACGCTCGATTTCCAGTTTTATGGTTCTCACTGGAACAGAAAACAGAGAGAAAATCGTCCTAAGAGGACTACTGTCCTCCAACGAGGAGAAGTTCCATCACTTTGGGGAGATTTCTTCACATCTCTCTTGTTATGCCTCTGTGGCAGCAAATATAGGAAAACGGGATGCATGTTGTAACCATTCCCGTATTTATCCAAACCCAACATTCACTGTAGAGAAAAAAAAATTCTGCTCCAAAGAAGGATTAGAGGTGAGATCTGTATTGAAAACAAATGAAGGAAATGGTTCTTCAAGAGGTCGATATTTACACCATATACATGAATAAAAACACCATCAATGCCAGACAGGTGTATAGCAGGAAATACAATTCAAATAGAGCAAAGTAAATCAAATACATAAAGAAAAAACAATATTTTAATAAAAGTGTTAATAATATTCGTCACTATTCAGATTTAGGATGTAGGAGAAAGAAATAACTAGTTAAAAACGATTTAATTATGTGGACATAAAAATCTCAGTATAAAAAGTATTTATATACAATATATAAATACACTTACAGCTTGATGAAGAGCAGTGATGCTTGAAACTGGGCAGTCGCTACATGGAGCAGAACTTTGTATGAAGATTCTACTTTGAAGTAAATATTATTGCAATCTGGAGAATGTATCCTTGTTTTTCTATGTCATAATTGGTGGATCAACTGTGGGTGGAGGATTATAACTTTTATTTTTTTAATGATTTGAACTGGATGGACTTTTGTGTTTTTTTCAGCCAGACTAACTATGTAACTATGTGGATGATTGGGAGCCCACTATTGATACAATCTCCACGTACTGGATTTGAACACAGAAGGAATGACTAACCCTTCATTTTTATATGATATATATATATATATACACTATATTATTGCCAAAAGTATTGGGCTGCTGACATTTCCACGCACATGACCTTTAATGGCCCCCCAGTCTCAGTTCCTGGGTTCAATGTTGAGTTGGCCCCGCCCTTTCACGCACATGACCTTTAATGTCCTCCCAGTCTTAGCCCGTAGGGTTCAATATTGAGTTGGCCCCGCCCTTTGCAGCTATAACAGCTTCAACTCTTCTGGGAAGGCCGTCCACAAGGTTTAGGAGGGTGTCTATGGGAAGGTTGGACCGTTCTTCCAGAAGCACATTTGTCAGGTCAGGCACTGATGTCGGGGGGAGGAGGCCTGGCTCGCAGTCTCCGCTCTAATTCATCCCAAAGGTGTTCTATGGGGTTGAGGTCAGGACTCTGTGCAGGACAGTCAGGTTCCTCCACCCCAAACTGGCTCCTCCATGTCTTTATGGACCTTGCTTTGTTCACTGGTGGGCAGTCATGTTGGAACAGGAAGGGGCCATCCCCAAACTCTTCCCACAAAGTTGGGAGCATGAAATTGTCCAAAAATGTCACCTTAAGAGTTCCTTTCACTGGAACTAGGGGCCAAGCCCAACCCCTGAGGAACAACCCCACACCATAATCCCCCTCCACCAAATTTTACACTTGGCACAATGCAGTCAGGCAAGTACTGTTTCTCCTGGCAACCGGCAAACCCAGACACGTCCATCGGATTACCAGACAGAGAAGAGTGATTGGTCACTCCAGAGAACACGTCTCCCCTGCTCTAGAGTCCAGTGGCGGCGTGCTTTACACCGCGGCATCCGCCGCTTTGCATTGCACTTGGTGATAGAAGGCTTGGATGCAGCTGCTCGGCCCATGGAAACCCATTCCATGAAGCTCTCTATGCACTGTTGTTGGGCTCATCTGAAGGCCACACCAAGTTTGGAGGTCTTTAGCTATTGACTCTGCAGACAGTTGGCAACTTCTGCGCACTGTGCTCTTCAGCATGCGCTGACCCCGCCCTGTCATGTGACGTGGCCTATCACTTGGTGGCTGAGTGGCTGTTGTTCCCAGTGCTTCCACTTTGTTATAATCCCACTAACAGTTGAGCGTGGAATATTTAGTAGCCAGGAAATGTCACGGATGGACTTATTGCCCAGGTGGCCACCTATCACGGGACCACGCTTGGAGTCACTGAGCTCCTGAGAGCGACCCATTCTTTCACCAATGTTTGTAGAAGCCGTCTGCATGCCTAGGGGCTTGATTGTATACACCTGTGTCCATGGAGGGGATTGGAACACCTGAATCACATGACATGGAGGGGATTGGAACACCTGAATCCCATGATTTGGAGGGGATTGGAACACCTGAATCACATGATTTGTTGGGGATTGGAACATCTGAATCACATGATTTGGAGGGGATTGGAACACCTGAATCACATGATTTGGAGGGGATTGGAACACCTGAATCACATGATATGGAGGGGATTGGAACACCTGAATCACATGATATGGAGGGGATTGGAACACCTAAATCACATGATTTGGAGGGCGGGCCCAATACATTTGGCAATATAGTGTGTATATCAGGGACAGACTGACCATTTGGAAACTCGGGCACCGCCCGAGGGCCCGGGGTCAGTTGGGGGCCCCATGAGATGCCCCTTGTACCTTTTTCATAGGTTTTTTTGAGTTTGGGCAAGGACACATGGGCCCCATGATCCCCTATTGCCCGGGGGCCCCATGAGTTGTCAGTCCGCCCCTGGTATATATTGTATATATACAGGGGCGGACTGACAACTCATGGGGCCCCCGGGCAATAGGGGATCATGGGGCCCCTGTGTCCTAGCACACACTCAAACCACACTAAAAAAAGTCTATGAAAGGTACCAGGGGCATCTCATGGGGCCCCCTACTGACCCCGGGCCCTCGGGCAGTGCCCGAGTTCCCAAATGGTCAGTCCGCCCCTGGTATATATTGTATGTATATAGTATGTGCACTATGGTGAGGAAGGATATAATGTAATGATCTCCAGTTATGACTTGTTGCCAGCAGGACCGGCCCCTGATTATGTCACTACTATGATAGCCAATCACAATGATCACTCGGTCCCCAATCCCTCCACCCCCCCCCCCCCCCCCCCAGGCATTCAGAACTTTTTAAAGGGATGCCAGGGTGGGCAGGAGAGGGTTACACACTAATTCTAAGCGTGAGTGATCAAGATCGGAATACACAATTGCATGAATATAATTTTGCTGTAGGATCTCTGCGTGTTGTATAAAATGTGTTTATTTTGCGTTTGTGATTTTTTTCGTCTCTTATGTACATAAATAATAATGAGCCCTCGACAATACGGTTAGTGAGTCATCTTGATTCCCTGTTCTGCTTTTTACAGATCTGAAGCATAATTTCCCATCTCGGTATTATTCGGTGGAATGCGTGCGACCGGCGCGCCGCTGTTATTGCTTTTTCATTAGTCGCTGTAATCTTTTATTTTTACATTTTCTCATTCTGTTCTTTATGTTAATTGGCCATAATTGCTGTTATTTGAAGGAGGCTGGAAAAATACTTCGGGATTAATTGACGCGCTATTTGTGATTAAAAACAAACACCTTCAAGCAGCATTTAAATGCATCGCGTCACTCAATGGTCGGCGGTTTCCTGCATCGGCTGCAGATTTCACTTGCTTCCAGCTAAGCCAAGTCTGGAAACAGGTGGGAGCTGTCTCTGCAGAGCTGTCTCTGAATGAAGGATCGGCATCTTTTCTGATCTGATTTCTTGTGATTGTTTGCATCAGATGTCTGTGAAACAATAAAAAAAAGAAATAAAGGAGGAGATGGGGGATGTGATAAAGAAAATTAAACCATCTCTACTCACAGTGAACATTTTGAAAATTTATAGAGAAGAGAAAAGAAAAGAAACAGAGAAGCGAGCAAGAAGAGAGAGAGAAGAGAGCTAGAGGAGAGAAGAGAGCAAGAAAAAAAGAGGAGAAAAGAGAGCGAGAAGAGAGAAAGAGGGGAGCGAGAAGAAGGTGAGAAAGAAGAGAAGAGAAGGGAGCAAGAAGAGAGCGAGAAGAGAAGAAGAGAGGGAGAAGAAGAGAAGAGAGCGAGAGCGAGAGCGAGAATGGAGCAAAAAGAGAGCTAGAGGAGAGAAGAGAGCAAGAGGGGAGCATGAAGAGAGCTAGAAGAGAAGAGAAGAGAAGAGAGAGAGAGAGGGGAGCGAGAAGAGAGTGAGAAGAGAGCGAGGAGAGAGAAGAAAGCAAGAAAAAAAAGGAGAAGAAGAGAGTGAGAGAGGGAGCTAGAGGAGAGAAAGAGAGCGAGAAGAGAGAAAGAGGGGAGCGAGAAGAAGGTGAGAAGAGAGGGGAGCAAGAAGAGAGAGGGAGAAGAGAAGAGAGGGGAGAGGGAGAAGAGGGTGAGAAGAGAGCAAGAATGGAGGGGAGAAGAATGGAGAAAAGAGAGCTAGAGGAGAGGAGAGAGAGAAGAAGAGAGCAAGAAGGGAGAAGAGAAGAGAAGGAAGAGAAGAGAGAGAAGAGAGGGGTGAGAGAGGGTAAGAAGAGAGAGAGAGCGAGAATGGAGCGAAAAGAGAGCTAGAGGAGAGGGGAAGAGAGCAAGAGGGGGGCATGAAGAGAGCTAGAGAGAGAGAGAGAGGAGGGGGGGAGCGAGAAGAGAGTGAGAAGAGAGCGAGAAGAGAAGAGAAAGCAAGAAAAAAAGAGGAGAAAAGAGAGCGAGAAGGGAGCTAGAGGAGAGAAGAGAGAGAGAGAGAAGAGAGAAAGAGGGGAGGGAGGAGAAGAAGGTGAGAAGAGAAGAGAGGGGAGCAAGAAGAGAGCGAGAAGAGAAGAGAAGAGAGGGGAGTGAGAAGAGGGTGAGAAGAGAAGAGAGCAAGAATGGAGCGAGAATGGAGCGAAAAGAGAGCTAGAGGAGAGAAGAGAGCAAGAAGGGAGCAAGAAGAGAGGAGAGCGAGAAGAGAGAGAGAAGAGAGGGGGTGAGAAGAGGGTAAGAAGAGAAGAGAGCGAGAAGGAGCAAGAATGGAGCAAAAAGAGAGCTAGAGGAGAGAAGAGAGAGAGGAAGAGGGGAGCATGAAGAGAGCTAGAAGAGAAGAGAGGGGGGAGCGAGAGAGAGCGAGAAGAGAGTGAGAAGAGAGCGAGAAGAGAAGAAAGCAAGAAAAAAAGAGGAGAGGAAAAAGAGAGCGAGAAGGGAGCTAGAGGAGAGAAGAGAGCGAGAAGAGAGAAAGAGGGGAGCGAGAAGAAGGTGAGAAGAGAGCAGAGGGGAGCATGAAGAGAGTGAGAAGAGAAGAGAGGGGAGGAGGGAGGAGAGTGAGAAGAGAGCGAGAAAGAGAGCTAGAGGAGAAAAGGGAGCGAGAAGAGAGCTATAAGAGAGTAGGAGGGGAACGAGAAGAGAGTGAGAAGAGAGTGCGAAGGGAGAGAGAAGGGAGAGAGAAGGGAGCGAGAAGAGAGCAAGAAGGGAGTGAGAAGAGGGTGAGAAAAGTTGAGAAGAGTTACAAAGTAAAAGTAAAGATTAGAAAGTAGACAGATGAGCTCACAACACGATTCCTAGGCTGACATTATCCAAGGATCTGAAAATCTGGAAAACACAAAGACTTTTGAGTTTCAATCCTGGGCAATGCACAGAACATTGCCAGAAGGTTTGCTGTGTCTCTCAGCACAGTCTCAAGAGCATGGAGGAGATTCCAGGAGACGAGAGCATGGAGGAGATTCCAGGAGACGAGAGCATGGAGGAGATTCCAGGAGACGAGAGCATGGAGGATTCCTGGAGACAGGCAGTTCCACTAGGAGGGCTGGACAGGGCCGTAGAAGGTCCTTAACCCATCAACAGGACCGGTATCTGCTCCTTTGTGGAGGAGGAACAGGATGAGCCCTGCCAGAGCCCTACAAAATGACCTCCAGCAGGCCACTGGTGTGAATGTCTGTGACCAAACAATTAGAAACAGACTTCATGAGGGAGGCCTGAGGGCCCAACATCCTCTAATGGGCCCTGTGCTCACTGCCCGGCCCCATAGAGCTGGATTGGCATTTGCCATTGAACCCCAGAATTGGCAGGTCCACCACTGGCGCCCTGTGCTTTTTACATTAAAAAGTCGACCTCGCGGTTTGGCATAGTCATGTATTTCAACAATACGACATATATGTAATAAAAGCAATGAAATATGAAGGGCATCAGTACTTGGCTGTTACATTACAGATACCTTTGTGTACTCCACCCTGATGAAGATTATAATAGAGTCGAAACGTGTCGGGGCAAACACAATTCTAATCCCTGACTGTATAATAGGGTTGTGATGCCCACTGTCATTGATATCTATTGTATACCCTCTGTTGAAAGGTACAGATTGCAAGCATCTATGCCAGAAATACAAACATTGTTTTTATTATTTTTTTCTATAAAAGAAATTTTGTATTCATAAAGAAAAAAATATATTGTTTATGTATTTATGTTGTCACGGCTTCATTAAAGTCCCACGGGAGACCATTTTGTTTTGTGATATAGTATAGGGACCAGGGGCGTCCCTAGGGTTGGTGTCACCCGGTGCGGTAACACTTGGTGACACCCCCTCCGACAATCCCCGCAGAATGGATCGGATCTACGGATTGAGCATAATGGAGCGGACTTCGATCCATTATGCTCTGCTCCCCAAACTGCAGATCCGATCCATCCTGCGGGGATCATCGGCTTGCTTTACAACTTGCCTTTTCGTGGAGCGGGTCCGGTGTCACCCCGTATAGGTTGCATGCCGACGATCCTGGCAGGATGGATCAGATCTGCAGATTGGGGAGCATAATGGAGCAGACTCCGATCCATTATGCTCAATCCGTAGATCCGGTCCATCCTGTGGGGATCATCAGCTTGCTTTCCAACTTACCTTTTTGTGGAGCGGGTCCGGTGTCCCCCCGTATGGGTTGCATGCCGATAATCCCCGCAGGATGGATCAGATCTGTGGATTGAGCATAATGGATCAGACTCCGATCCATTATGCTCAATCCGTAGATCCGGTCCATCCTGCGGGGATCATCGGCTTGCTTTCCAACTTACCTTTTTGTGGAGCGGGTCCGGTGTCCCCCCGTATAGGTTGCATGCCGATAATCCCCGCAGGATGGATCAGATCTGTGGATTGAGCATAATGGATCAGACTCTGATCCATTATGCTCCCCAAACCACAGATCCGATCCATCCTGCGGGGATCGTCGGCTTGCTTTACAACTTACCTTTTCGTGGAGCGGGTCCGGTGTCACCCCGTATAGGTTGCATGCCGACGATTGGGGAGCATAATGGATTGGACTCCGATCCATTATGCTCCCCAATCCGCAGATCCGATCCATCCTGCGGGGATCGTCAGCTTGCTGTACAACATTCCTTTTCATGGAGCCGGTCACCCCGTGCAGTAGGTGTCACCCGGTGCGGCGTGCACCCCCCCCCCCCCTGCACCTGCCTAGAGACACCCCTCATAGGGACGAATCAGCCCTGGACTCAGGACGACCCACTCACTTTTATTATTGAAGCGGGGGTAGTAAC